TTTGCTTAATGTTTACATTGTAACTTAGAGACCTAGTACAGTACTCAGCTGTTGGTACTGTACTGTTACTATTGGCACTGTCACTGTGTGAGCTGAATGCTGTTAATCCTCTGAACTTTGAGTGGCAGCCTTCTCATTTCACTATATATGCAGATGATAAGGCTTATGATGAACAGATAAACCCGTTCATGTCTTCTGACATCAGCAAGCATCAAAGACAATGAGCTGCTTCATAAACATCTGTGTGAAGCCGTTGAGAAACAGAGATAACGTGCTGATAGCTGCACTGATCCTGACAGATGACATCTGTGTGCTCCATGCTCCTCCAAACATTGCAGAAAATATTGGCTTGGAAAGACATCATTCAAATCAAAAGTCGATTCAACTTGAAAACCAAAACAAACATAAAACATCTATTATTTTATGCAACACTGACAAAATCAGATTAGTTCCACTGAACATGCCAACAGTCAACTATCTGTTTGATTTGATCACAAATGATAAAAAAATAAATAAAATGAAAAGAATTGAGTAAGTGTTATTTTCTAAAATGCTCCGAGAACATTATACCTCATGCAGCAGGTGACTTATTTATACTCAGTGCTTTAAAACCCACCTGACAGGATGGATTCATGACACGACTGTTTCTTTATTGCAACCAAAATTGTTTAACCTTTCCCCTTTCAGCCAAACCATGAACTTTTGTTAATTCATTGAAACCATAAAGATAAGCTCTGAATGTGAAGTGGCCACACAGTCTTGTCTGCAACTTGTCGACTTTCTTTTATGATGCTTGCTTATCTGCTTCTTCTTCTTCTTCTTTTTTTTTTTTTAAACCACAATGACAGACATTGGCATTTGGCCCTGTTACAAAATCATATCACAAAGAATGAAATTTGCATATTAAGACTTGGTCATGTTACTGCACGAGATCACAGAAAAATGTGACATGTGACATTTAAAGGGTGGGGTTAGGCCCGCTGCACGCAGGATTTACGATGAAGAATGTGGTCAGTGTCACTTCATAGGAAACATTTACTCAGGGTTTACCTGTCATTAAAAAAAAAAAAAAAACACAGGCAGACTATGCTTTACTTACAATAAATACAGTTTCCCCTGAGATGCTACAATTTAAGATGTCATCTGACAGAGTCAGGATTTATAGAAGTTTTAAATTCAGGACCAGAAGAAAAATGCAAAGTGTAATTTTCATGTAAAAATAAAATCAACAAAATGAACTTAGGCATCAAAGTTAAAAATACTTTTTAGGCAGCAGTGTGTGCCCTGTCTGTGTTACACTGTAATTAGTAATTTACTGCTAAAGCTGTCTGAGGTGGAGCTACTTTTATTACAGTATACGCTGCTGGGTAGTTTCAAATAAATGGCACAAAAACAGTATAGTAACAAGTATAAGTAGCATAAAGATGGTAATACTGAGGAAAACTATTAGTAAATGTAATTAATTGCAAGTGACTTTAGTACCACTGGCTTCAGTCCTTAAGACTCCATTAAGTGATTGTTGTAATGTTAAAAGTGAAATAAAAGATTATTAGCTCAAAAACGTCTGTTACTTTGAAGAAATATTGATTTGATTTGATCAATTCAAACAGCTGAAGGGTCATTTTAGTGTTACATAACACTTTTGAGGGCTGCAGGGTGGTGCAGTTGGTAGCACTGTTGCCTTGCAGCAAGAAGGTTGCCGGTTCGCGTCCCAGTGGGGGCACCGGAATCTTTCTGCGTGGAGTTTGCATGTTCCCCCCGTGCAGCGTGGGTTCTCTCCAGGTTCTCCGGCTTCCTCCCACGCAGTCCCAAAACATGTTGAGGTCAATTGGTGATTCTAAATTGTCCGTAGGTGTGAATGTGAGTGTGCTTGGTTGTCTGTCTCTAAGTGTAGCCCTGTGATAGACTGGTGACCTGTCCAGGGTGTCCCCTGCCTTCGCCCTAAGTCAGCTGGGATAGGCTCCAGCTCCCCCGCGACCCTAATGAGGATTAAGCGGTGTATAGATAATGGATGACTTTTGAACACAGTTTTGCACAAGTCAAGCACTTTGTTTCCCATTTTCTCCACTGAAGCACATCAGGAATGAAGATCTTCATAGAGAAATTTGTACAACAAGTTGAACTTTTCGTAATGCTCAGTTGACTATTATTTAAAGGTGTAAAATGTAAAATAGAACTGGTCAAAATCACAAAAACCTTTCTATACTGTATTGCATTTATTGTTATTTTATGTATTTTTTATATTGCGATTAACAATAATTATGTATGCATGCAACCAATGTGCATGTTAAAGAAACATGAACATATATCAGTGCCGACAAGAATTCAGCCAAATGTCAGTTAAATTTTACATGTTCACTTCATAAAATGGCCAAATATTTAAAATGCAAAAGCAGATGTTGCAGTCTCTCTCAGATGTTGTTTTTCTTTTTTTCTGTTCAGTCTCTGAGTCGTAAATGTGACACACTGAAGTGTCCCAATGCAGGGAAGAGCAAGTAAGGACAACTATGGCAATAACTAAATCCAGCAAAGAGAAAAAGATTGATTGATGCAGACATGTGACATCTTTCCTTGATCAGTTCTATATGAATACCTTCACTCATGTACTTAAAAGAGGATTAATGCATAGCATATTTTGGCTGAAGCTGCAGAAAGAACCACTGCTAAGGTTGTTGGCCGTTGTCGAGGAATGTGAGCGTGCACATTTTTACTGTGCTGCCAACCTACGATCAGGAGAGCGAATATTTGTATTGCATCAAATAGTCAAACTAGTGAACAGAAACCTTGTGTCAACCTTTGATGCACATTATTCTATTATTATTTCTACCCGGCATTAATGGATCCTCACATTTGAATCATGTCGTGCTTTGGTAACATTTATGTTAGTTTTGAAGATATCTCCTAAACTCTTTGAAGACTTAAGTCATTTGAATGAAATAAAAAAAATGCCTGTTGAATCATAAGGATTTTTATGGTGCGATTGAACAGCTTAATTCAGGCTAATGAAAATGACCTTACTCTTTTTTTTTGACAACTAGAACATTAATATTTAAAATATATAACACTGGAAACAGCTATCAGTTTCATTATGAATCTTGCTTTTTTTTTAAGTTTTAGTTTTGTTATACAAATTTAGTGAGGGCATTGCTTTTGGGAGCTTTTAGTATTGCTTTTGGACGCAGGTTAAATGTCGCTGCAAATAGTTTCAGACAAGCAGTCAGTGTTGTCTTCCGTTTTTTTTTCTTCTACTTTTTTGTTTGTTTTAAAGGCAAATGCACACAGACTCCTGTTATCAGCACTGTCAGAGTTTGTGCTTCTCTTACTGTAAGTGTATTTGTTCTGGCTGGTGTCAGTGTGTCTGTCAAGCAGATGAGAGGATTTGTTGCCGCATTGATGATAAAAAAAAAGGCATTCTCTCAACTTTCACCTTGACACTTTAGCCTCTTTTGATCTGAACAGAAAGAGCCACGATTGCTACTTCCATCTCTTACACACACATCACCAGAGATTCCACTTTCTCTGCCTCAGCATTATTTGGCTTTACGTGACCTAACAGCCATGGTTTGTTGGCACTTTTAATGAGCGTGGTTTATGTCGGGGCTGAGGTTGCTTTTACTGGAACCACGGGCCACGTGTCTCTCACCTCCGCTGGGATCAGATAACAAGTCTTCACACTCAGTCAGATAAAGGCCCCCGTACGTCCACTGATGTCAGACTTTGGTGGTTTTAATGTAGCGGCACTGAAAATGAACTCAACTGTTCCCACACCTGCGCTCACACTGTCAGGGGACGCAGTGTCGTGTATCTCACAGATTCACAGCAGAATAATGACTCCGACAATATGATCTCTAAGGATCAGTGAACAAAAGCGCCATTTTAAAAACACACCATTATCGCTTCTCGTTATGTGGTGACAGCGATATAAATCAAATGTCACCTTCCGCCACTTGAGCTTTCCTCAAGGTGTTTCCACTACTTATAGGACCTGTTTGACAATTTTGCTTCTTTATTTTCTGGAAGATACTTGGATGAGAAGATTAATGTGTCTGATGCTGCAGGCAGCAGTCTGTTAGCTTAGCATTAAACTGAAGGACGGGGAACCTGGGGACACGCATGACTTGGTTCTCCACATGTGAAACTACAGCTTAAGTTTTTGTACCTAATAAACCAACAAGATATGAATTATTACATCTGAAATCATCAGAGGCCTTCTGCTTTTTTAATCATTAATGATAGCTTTTAAAATGGTGTCTGTGGAATTTTAGACTGATAGATTAAATACTTTTATATATATGTATATTTTAAATAACTGCACTTTTCCAAACTTAAAAAAAAATAGTATATATATTTTTTTAATTTGAGGCTGTTTGATTAAATGGCAATATCTCAGTAATTATTCCCTATTATTTATCATCATGTCATTGATTCAGAATCTGCATTATTGAATAAATAAATCACCTCTGATTACAAGTGAGTTGAATTGTATAAAAAAAAGTTAAAGCCAACATAGAAAGCCTCCTCTTTGAGCACACATTAAGTTAGAAAATAATAATCCAGACGTCAATTAGTGATGCTAGATATCGTAGTAAATTTAATATATCTATTTTATGCTGTAAAAAAGTCAGGCAAATCAGAGATGGTCAAGGAGGAAACGTTGAAATGACCCATATGTGATTTTTTGAGGTGTACAACGGCTAGTAGGCTGATTTTATTATATTAACTTTAATATATGACAGTGAAATTAATATTAACGTTTGACTGTCACCAAAAAAACAAAGAAGTTGTTTCCAAAAGTGCTAATCTATTGCTTCCACAGCTTTGTGTAATGTTTAATTTGAACTGCAGCTCCTCACACAACTCAACTCCCGCAAATGAAGCAAAGCTCTACTGATGAGGCTTTTCCTCTTTTTTTACATTTCTTTGCAGGAGCAGATTTTGGTGCAGGATGTCACACTCCCACAGCAGCAGCAAGCCTCAGACTTCAGCCCCTCAGGTTGGCATACACACCTGTGAGCCCTGTGGGACCTGCTGCAGGCAGATGGCAGAATCACAGGTACTGAGCCGCTGCTGGAATTTTCAATTTCACCCCCAAAACAACCTTTTTCTGGAAATAGTAAATTATACCTAACTCTGCCTTCAGTCTGCTAGTGTGTGCAGAATTGAATGGAGAGATTGTTTCTGAATTGTGTCAAATATGCGCTGACAAAGACTTGAACCAGCGACTGATTAATATTTCTTTTGTAAGGCAAACTAATTGTACATCTTGAATATATACAGTTAAGAACAAACTCTTAAAATAATACATCATATGCTTTTTTTTGTTTTATTGCAGAGAGTAATATGAGAAGACTGATGCCACTCAAATGTTTCGTAATTCAAAGTTAAATAAAAAACTAACTTATGTCAGAAGGTGTTTGTAAAGGTTGGAAACATTCGATTTTGCCTTTTTGAGAAGTTATGTCACATTTTGTCACCTAGCCAATCAAGTGATGTCTTCATTTTATCAATATGCAAATGTGAGTCTGTTGGGAAAGGTGAGTCACTATTTTGTTATGCTCTTCGTTTGTTTACTATGAGAGACAAGTTGTAGCACTTCTGGCCTCCGAGGGTTCCCAGAGAGTATCTTGTTATCCTCTTTTATCTTTGATCAAAAAAGGAGTGGAGACAAGGATTGCACACTCCGAAAGCTTACTCAACAGTTATGTAATTGGTAAATTGCACTTGTTATTGTGTAATAATGAATATTACACCGCAGATTAAAGATGAGGATGATGTCTTCTTCACGCAGGAGGAGAGCAACACCTTCAGCTTGAGAACTGTGGCTGCCAACAGGAGGCACAGTGCTGATGGGGTCACCGGTTCGGGGTCGGGCTTGGCTCCTGGACGAGGGCCCGTCGACTCCGACCGGTTCCACCCATACCGCCGACAGTTCAGTGAGGGAGCTGTGGCGGCTGCAGGGTGTCTCCAGCAGTGTTCCTCTCCCTACAGCCGTCTGCAGGAGGTGTGCAGCCCTGAAGCCCGTCTGCACAGCGACGAGGTGCCAGCGTCCTGGGAGCAGTACAACGGCAGCATTCAGGTGTCTAGACCTACAGTGCACTCAGTTTTACCCTCACACACCTACTGCTTCACTTCACACTTTCTACATTCCAAAACAAGTTGACATGAGGAAGGTGACTTAACAAGTCCAACAGGTTATTATTGTATAACACAACCCATGCCTGCACACACTGAAGCAACACAGTTATGTGGGTATAAAGAATAATATATTAAGTGACACTGTGAAAACATGGTCAACAACCTAAATAAAACCCAGCTGCACTATTGCACAACTTCCAAACATTTTAGTTTTTCTACCCTTATATTTGCAGAGTTCGTACCCGGAGCTACCAGCTGTACCAGCGGAGCCTCCCTGCTTCCTGTCTCAAAGTTATCCTTCCTACAGCTCATCGAGCTCTCTGCAACAGGTGAGTGAGGACTGCAGCAGAAGATGGGATGTCTGTGACCATTAATGAAAACACAAGTGGTAGATATTTGGGGCCTAGCTTTCTGATTTTAGGATATTATAATATGAGTGCAAGTAAAATTATTATTTATCGTTTGCACATCTCAAGTTGTTTACACCATATACTTTGCTTCCTAGCACATTCCCAGGTGTGTAAATAGCACATTCCTGCACTCTGAAAACACTTCTATTACTTTTACAATACCTTGAAATTGCTGCACTTGCTGTGTTCTGTCTTGTAACACTTCCTGTCTACTGATTTGCTTTTTAAAATCTTTTTACCATAAAAAAAAAAAGTCCTACATGTTTATTTTTATGCACCAAAACACAAATTCCTCACATGTAAAAACCTACTTGGCAATAAAACTAATTCTGATTATGTGATTTGGAGCAACTAGACTGGTATTTACTAGCTGTCAGTTCATGGTTTTGCTATGTGTGTGTGTGTTTGTGTGTCGTTCTCTGCAGGTTTCATCTAGACTGTATCCGAGTAATGACCAGTCCAGCAGCTCAAAATATTCTCTCCAAAGCCTCTCGACTCCATCACACCAGGAGAGCACCACACAGTCCCTCTATCCCAAACCCATTTATTCATACAGGTAGCGTCATGCCACACCTCACCATACTTCACCTGTATTAACACACTTGTCCACCCTTAATAAGTAATCACATTTAAATTAACAATACTTTGACTTCTTACATGATTATCATCTTTAAATCATTCTGATAGAAAAAATAAATCCAGTGCATATGTTTGAGGTGCATTAAATCTAAGAGCTTTGTTTATAGAAATATGACTGAAATGCTAATATAAATATCTTCTTCATCACTGCAGCATCTTGATTTTCATGGCTTTGAAGAACAGTAAAACAGGGAGTCTGCCAGTCAGTGAGATCTACAGCTTCATGACCGAACACTTCCCATATTTCAAGGTATGACAATACATGCTGTCTTTATTACACACACAGATTAGAACCAAACTGAAAACTGGCAGGCTCATCAGTTGCACAAGCAAAAAGTGTATTCCCAAACACTGAAGAGACATTTCAGGCTGTCAGCTTGCTCCTCCAGTTTCATGAGTAGTCTACAGCATCCATGCTGATTGTGTGATGGCATTATTATTTTGTGTGTTTATTTAATCTACGTTTGTACATACAATGTTGCAGCAATACTTTCTTTAGTTCAGTTGTTCTCTGTAGCTGAAGGCTTCAGGTTTGCCTACTGTTTTGTCATAAGTTAAAGGTCATCCAAACCCCTTGTGTGTGTTGCAGTTGACATTAATTACCCCCATAAAACCCCTCTTATGATTAATGACACGGTGTGCTGCCCCTGCAGCTGGAAGGAACCTGTTAAGGCCAGAAACCTTGCACCATTCAGGAAATCAAATCTGATAATGAAAAGCAAAGCAATATAATTATTTAACTTTGCTCAGAAGGTGATTTTTGCAGATGTCATCTCCTTATAAATTCATGCCCCGGTGCATTAATGTCGATTAAAGGAAGCAGCTGCAGGGTTGGACCTCTGCTTGAACCGTGGTCATCACAAATACTGCACATTTTCCAAAGGATTCCTCCTAATCAGATGAGTTGAGACTCACCTCTGGAAAGAGCTCCGAGGCTTGCTGCCATTCATATTCAAGAAGGCACCGTATAGATGGCTGCTGTCCAAACAGCTGCCTGTAACATTAAATGCAGGCTGCAGGGCCAGAAAATACAGGAGACAGACGATAAAGGTGATACTCTGAGGAAAGTCAGGTGCATTTTTCAAAAGCTGATTTTAGATACTTTTTTGAATATTGTCAAATATGTTTCAGTTCACTTCAGTTCACTTCAGTGGATACTTGTTATGGCACGCGGATATTAGTCACTGCCAGAGCAGATGGTGGCAAAGTTAAAATATGTTGTAATATTCCCTGTAGGGAGAACCGGGTGTCCTAGTTTCCTTTGTAACAACTCTCATAATATTTAAACTGGAATGTTTGACATACAGACACTGAACCACAGACAGGCGGTGGGTGACAGCTGCAACGAGACCAGAGTCCTTTACTGAAATGAAAGAGAATCAGTATCAAAATAGGCCAGGTCTGTCTGTCTGCTGGTCCATGGTGTCAGTCCAGTTGAAAATATCTCAACCTTGGATGGATCTGAACAAATACTCATCCTCCCAACGGGATTAACTGTAATAACACTGGCGATCCCTTAACATTTCATCTAGCACCACCATCTCAACCTACAATACTTTAATACCTGCTAAACTGACAACATTCCCATGTGCCTCAGCAGTACTGTGCTGTATTGTACTTGTGTGCTTTCTACCAAATATAACAGTGAAAAAAAGGGTAATAGTCCGCCAGTCAGGGCACCAAAAAGGTACTGTAAAACAACAAAAAATAACTATCTCATAAGAATACAGTAGTTTTCCATAATTAAAATACATTTTGTCACCTTTATTTTATATGATATTGTGTGAGTCTTTTTTGTTTAATGAGCCTAATAATAATAATAATACGTATGTAGTCATGTAGATGTTACCTTTTTATGTGAAAAATTCTGTTAAATTATGTGAATGGAACCTCTTATTGAACAAACAAATCTATGTAAAATGACCAAACCAACACTTCTTTTTGTGTTAATTGTCACTAATTTTTGAAACATATTTACAGCATTAAAATGTATTAGTTCTGAGTTTAGCAAACTTAATATAACTTAATATAAAGAAAATATTTGTGGAACTGCCAAATTTCTGAATGTATTTATTGCAGTTATGCAGTTATTTCTGTCAAAAAAAGAAGTATTTTTCAACAAGAATAATAGAAATTCAGTCCATTTTTGTAATTTTACTAATGTATATAACTGACAACCAGCAGAGGAAGGAGAAACACAGAACAGCATGCTAATATTAGCATTTAGCTCAAAGAATGTACCTACTCTAGGTAGCCGCAGTGAGCTAAAATGACTAAAGACCAATTCTTGGTAGCTGTCTTTGGCTACTTTTTATTTTCCAAAGAAACAAACTATTGTATTAATAAATTAATACATTTGTCAAATGACAGAAAATATCTTTGTTTTCGTCTGTTCTCAAGCTAAATGACAAACATTTTTTGGCTTCCAGCTTCTTAGACACAATGATTTACTGCTGTTCTTCATCTCATATTACGTACATTTCACTTTGGGATATGAACTGTTGAAGACATCACTGGTCATATATTTTAGGATGCAGTTCACATTTTTCCTTTTTTTTCCCTTACTTTCTACAAAGAAAGTGTAATTTGAGGTATCCCAGCAGCCCTGTGGTAAAGATGTGAATGAAGCATCCTCTCCTTTCTGTGTTCAGACAGCTCCTGATGGGTGGAAGAACTCTGTGCGGCACAACTTGTCCCTGAACAAGTGCTTCGAGAAGGTGGAGAACAAAAACGGTAGCACTTCTCGTAAAGGCTGTCTTTGGGCTCTGAATCCCGCCAAGGTGGAGAAAATGCAGGAAGAGCTGCACAAATGGCGTCGCAAAGACCCCATCACTGTTCGCAGGAGCATGGCGAGACCAGGTGGGTCCCACAAGGACAGAATGTCTGCCAAATGAGGAGGAAAACAACGTTTCTCAGATAACTATGTTTTACTGTTTTTATTGTGTATGCATGCTTGACTCTTTATGCTGATCTGATTTAGAATTATGACAAATCAATAGTAATTTTAGTCCACCTATGTTGACTCACTTGACACATTTTTTCCACAGAAGAACTCGATCGCCTACTGGGAGAAAGACCGGATAAACTCAGATCTTTGCCATCTTATACCAACACAACTTTATTATCCAGAGTGGCTCCTCCCTACAGCACTGCCTCTTCGTCTTGTACCCGACTTCGACCAGCGTGCCAGCCCTTTCGGCGTACGCAATATGCCCACATTCAGCCTCAGCAGCCCTGTTACCTTCCCCCTGCTGCTGCTCTCCCAAACAACTCCTTTGCCCTGTACTCACCCTGTGGTCAACAGTCTGCTGCCGGCGTCCCATCAGCCACTGCAAATCTGAACTCTCCCACTGCTGGGAAGATGCCACCTCTGTACAACGCCACCCTACAGGCTGAGTACAGCGTTGGCCCCAGGACCATGCAGGACCTGCTGTTGGAGGGAGACGCCAGCTATGACGTGGACACCCTCAACCCCAGTCTGACTGACCTGCAGCTGCAAGGTGAGAGAGTCAGGTGGAGACAACGTGGTGAAAAACGAGTAGGACACATGTGACCGGCAATCTAATTCAAAAAGATTTGCTCAGCTTTATTCCAACTTCTGTAGATATTCACTGATATATGTTTATGGCTGATATACTGATCTCATAGTGTATGTGAAGGTAAGCAGATACAGGAGTACAAAAGATATGTTTAAGGTCACTTAAAAACAGAGAGTGCTGACTTGTTTATGTTCTTGCTTGCAACATAATCCAGGTTATAATGCTTCCATGCACAAATGTATCCAAAGAAAGGGTTTATATTATGTCTTTATATGAGAAAATAAAACTGATCAGTACATCTTTATCAGAGTTATCGCTGTTTTCTGAACACTTGGGGTTGTCTGCAGCAACAGCAGAGTACCCAGACATCAGTCAGATCTAATGGCATCTTCAGCATTAGCGGCTTATTCTTCTTAGCGAGAAATCTCCCACCTGCTCCATCTTATTCACGCTATGCGGGGCAGAGCGAACACTTCAGATTAGCAGACCCCCACAGCTCTGTCTTACCTTCCCCACCACCCTTCTTTAGTTGTTTCCTGTATCGCATTACTTACTCTGCCTCCATTTGTTTATGCTGCCAATCTCCTTTTTATTCTTTCTTACTCAAAACAGTTTTATGACTTACAGTAGATTGTGGCGCGAATAGAATTTACAATAACTCTGCTCTATTCACGTTTCCCAATAAGTACAGTGACACAGCATGCACAATACAAGGACCCTGGAAGTAAAAACGCTTTCTAAAAATTATTTAGTCACACCCATGTTTTTCCTGCGACATGTCAAACTGTCTTCTGTGAAAAAGGAAAAATTTAGGTTCCACATTGTCCCCTGAAGAAGATCTCACATGTCTCCAGTTTTCAGCTCAAAGTAGTACACCATTCTTCTAACATCTGTGGTTTTAGTCAAGTGCAAACCTGAATAGCTTATTTAGAAACACACTTTCTGATCTTTTGAGATGGGAAAGAACTGAGAGGACAGTCTCTTTTTTTCATATTTTGTGCATCTGTAGACACACTTGGGACATATAATCAAGTCAAGAGCAATTAGAAACTGGATTTTTCATTAAATGTCTGCTTTGACATATTCTCCAGGGTTACAAACATAATTTGAACTCGCTGCCAGCCCTGTGTCAGATGCTTGTATTCTTTTGCCATGAAGTTAAAGAAAAAAAGAAAAGTTAACAATCACATACATGCATTTTAAAAAAGCTCAATCAGATTCAACTCTCCATAGACTGGAACTAATTTGCAACCAGAAGTAAATAAATCTTCTGCCCTTTCATGATTAAATGACTGGATAGCGAATTGCTGTGCAACTGGTGTGTCACTGCTGAGCGATGATTAGTGATGCTCTCTCAAACAGTAATTTCCTTTCCTTTCGCAGGTAACTTGTGGGAGGAGTTAAGAGACGACAGCCTGGTGTCAGAGTCACAAGTCACCACCACAACGTCGTCCACTACCTTTGTCCTGCAGGATCACCACATCCAGACCAGCTGCCTGCAAAACACACCTGTCTGTCAGACGTCCGCGGTGACCGCCGGTGGTCGGTGTAAAGCAGAATATGAGGATGAGGACACAGGAGGACACGTAGAGCAGCCTGGCTATTTGAATGGACTGCATCCTGTGGTTTATTCAGGAGTGGAGAGTTTGGCTGGATATCTGACCTCCTGCACCACGTCCATCTCCTTAATGTGAACCTCTTTCACCCTCTCTGATGACAAAAATTGTATTTTGTGAACCAGAATGGAAAATTTTCTTGCCACAGTATTTGCTTGGTGGTTATTTAACCCATCAGATCCTCTGTTTACCACTATGTGACCAACTGTGGAGGAAATAGTTATAAAGATTTTCACTGTTTGTTTCCACCGTTCAGTCAATAAAAAACGACAAAAACAACTCTTATTATATCATTTTAGTCTTAAAACACAAACACTCTGCTTTATCTCATTAGCAAACAATAATTTTGATGAATGGAAATATAAGCAGGGAAGCACTTGATAAATTATAATTGAATTCCACAGTGAAAATTATTTACATTATTTGTGAATGTATCTATTTATTTATCTCTTACAAGTTGTCCTGTTGGTTTTTCAAATTTCATATCTTTTTTTCTGTATTAATGTGTGCATTTTTAAGTCATTTTGTAAACATCACTTGTTTCATTTTGTCAATTGTAGAATAAATCTGGACCAACTGTTTGTAAGTTAATCACTTTACCGATGTGTACACACTGCAGTTTCTTGTCATTTATCGTTATTGCTTCTTATAATCAGTTGATATATAAAAAAACCCTATAGAAACTATCTGTATCTTCAATCAGTGTTTAAAGAGCAGCTATTTGGATGCTTAAAGTGGCTACAGTCAATACATTATTAGCAATGTATGAAATGAAAGTATGAATATGATGCATAGATGTAATAGAAATTGCTTCTAGAGATGAACTGCAGCTCCTCTTGAATTTATGAAGCTAAATAGAAAGCTTCAGCTCAGCATTTTGGTCCTGACTTTGCTGTTTTTGTTCCCTCTAACTGTTCTCAAATATTTTAAGCACTAAAAACCCACAGTGCACTATTTGCTCAGCACCAAACAGCAGACAGATACAGTCAGCAAACTCACATAACACAGCTAAAGAACAAGATGTTTTGCTTAATAGTTGGTGGAGACCCAAACCAGAGCTAAACGAGGGTGATGATTGGAACTAAATCCACCAAGTTGTTGAAAACATGACTCCAGGGGACAAAAATGCAGTTAATTCAGGTTTAAACATGTCTTAGAATATGTAATGCAATAACTTTAATAACAACAGACTTAGTGTATTGCATGTTTTTCTTTTGCTCCAGTTTTATGTGGGCTGAGCAAAAGGAAATTGGTTGTCACTGATGTCTAACACTCAAACAATAATGTTTTTGTGGTAAATGATTGGTGGTGTCGTGACAACAGTGCAGTAAGACTGTTGTCACAGAAGATGGCAGCAAAGACACTTTGTGACCTACAGCTTGATGCATATCAGGGGATGTAATGGATTAATTTTTTACTTTCTGTTAAAGTTTTCTACACTAAGCAGCCTGACAAACATGAGCAACACAGTATAAAGACCAATGGCAAACTATATGTAAGTGATATTGTTTCAAAACTTTGGATTATGGATTTCAAACAACCAATGCTTATGTCTAGGTAATGTCGTGAACTTGTCAAAAACTGAAATTTAAGTCTCACTTTGCTACTTTAGTTTGACATTTGAGTGAAAATGATGTATGTGCAGAGTTTGACATTTAAACTGTGATCGCCAACAGCCATAATTTGTATTTGAGTGAATAAGGAGATGTCTTGTAGCATAAATTAATATTTGCATTTTTGTATATTCAGAATTTTTCAATAAGAGAGAAACAGGGGAGATTTTCAGATTTTTCTCAAGGTAACTGGCCTATTTTGTGGAATAAGAAACGTGCAGAAAAACATCAGATATCATTTTCGAATGAGCCTTTTTCCATATCAGCAGTTAAAAAAATAAAAACAACAACAACAATATATGTCAAGGTTTCGCAAAAATCCCATATTTATTGCAGTGATGGAATTTGAGCTGTCAAAACTTTACACACTTTTTCATTTTTATACTTAAAACATTGATCATAATTAAAGTATACACAGTGTTCAGTACTACAGAGAACGTACTGGATATCAAAAGTGGTATCTGACTTTTGGCTAATGTATGTTTTCTGACACTTCAAAATGGCTATTTATTTAAAAAATACTCCTGACTTGGTAGTACTATGAACATGAAAACATAAAACAAATGACACACTCACATAGACAAAAGTACACATCGCTGCCATTCGACTGGACGCTGACAGATTGTAGGAGGGAGGACGGAATCATTCAGATGTGTGCTACTACAAATTTAAGAAACTTCAGGAGTAAAAATGTAATGAGGCTCCTATACAAACTATATACTGTAAATATACATCTGAATGGGTTATTATTTATTCATTTTTCAGGGTGATTTCATTTCTCGCTTTGTCTCATGGCGTGTTTCTGCCTTGTCTGGTTTAGTGAGGACAAACAAGGCTCCTGTCTCTCTTCAGATTATTATCTCTGAAAACACACAAAATTAAAAAATGTTTTCCTGGTGATCGAGTGGAACCCGCATATACAGACTGAAATCAACATTATGTACAGACACTGCATGTGGTTGCTGCCCACACACTCATTCACGCACGCTGATGCAAACTGATGATAAAACTGGCAGAATTCAATGTTCCTGCAAAAAAAAAAAAAAAAAAAAAAAGGAGGCAAAGGGAGAAATCTGACAGACCAGGCAGCGGAGTACCTGGATGGAAACACACGGAGCTAATGGGAGGGAGGATTTAATGCCAGTGATTTGTCCATCAGTTCATCGGTTTTCTGGTCCTGAAGTGGTAGCGGGATCATGGAAAATGTCTAAAACAGGGAGGTACGAAGGGTTGAGGTCTTCCTATGGCCCCCCGCTGTAGGAATAATCTGCCTTGTTGTGCATCACCAGCTTGTTGTCCACAAAGTAGAAGCTGTCTGACTGCGTCTCGTAAGGATGCAGGATCATCTCACGCACTGAAAGAAACAGACAGGGTTTTGTAACATCAAATCCTCCTCGTGTGGGTGTGTTTGTCTCTCCTGGTTGCGTGGTACGTGCGTGTGACACTCACTGATTTCCTCAGACAGCGCCGGGAACTCGTAAATGTGCTCGCATGTGTTCTTGCTGCTGGGCATGCAGAAGCCGAACTCGAAATCGAAGCTCTTTAGCAGCTGGTCGCGGAAGTAGTGCCTCTCAATCATGCGGAAGTTGTTGATGGGGGTGTCGCCCACTGTGAACTCCACTCTGCAGGAGCACAGGGAAGGAATACACCCGCCAAGATGTGAGCAAATTAACATACAAACTGGGTTATCGCATGAAAATAAATCAGTGAATCCCACCTTACACCCTAAGAATCAGCAGATTTTTTTTTAAAATACAATAACTTTAGTATATTTAATGTGGCCATGCAGACAAAAAAAAACTACATTCATACTATGAACACATTTAGACTTATAGGAAGTAAGTACATAAGAAAGGGTTGAAATTTAATGCTTTTTCGTTAGTGTTATTTAATCAGCACATGGAGCCTTCATAACTTCATACATAACCAGGCCTGAAAAACAGATTTGCACTCTAATCTAAAGCCACACTTGCAAGGCTGCAAGGTGGCTTGGTGATTAGCACTGCCGCCTTGTAGCTACAAGATCCCCAGTTCGCGTCCCAGTTATATGCCTGGGATCTTTCTGCGTGGAGTTTGCACGTTCACCTCGTGCAGTGTGATTGAGGTTAATTAGTGATTCTAAATTGTCTGTAGGCATGAATGTGAGTGTGCTTGTTTATCTCTAAGTGTATCTCTGTGATATTCTGGTTGATTAATCGTAGCAACTGGACTTGCTTGAGTTCGTTGAAGACGTTTCACCTCTCATCCAAGAGGCTTCATCAGTTCTGACTGACTAGTTGGGAGATCCAGATATTTATATCCTAAGGAGCTATTAACACCTGAGTTCCAGTTTCAATTGGGGGTTGTTACTCATCCCCCTCGTTATGTGAGTCGTTAGTGCTCCCCCTGCCACAAAGGGGTTCGTTAGGGTCTTTTGTGGCTGGGTGTGAATGCGGTTTCATCTTCCTGGCGAGAGATCTTCGGACTGAATTGTAAACCGGTGAGAGATGATGACTCAGACCTCCACCTCTGTTGAGGGATGGTCTTTCCAGTTTGACATAGATGGCTTCTTTTACCCTTCTCTCAAACCATCTGTCCTGCCTGGCCAAAATCTGTACGTTGCTGTCTTCGAATGAGTGTCCTTTGTCCTTGAGATATAGGTGGACTGCTGAGTCCTGTTTTGAGGAGGTGGCTCTTCTGTGCTGAGCCATGCGCTTGTGGAGCGGTTGTTTTGTCTCCCAGATGTGCAGGTCTTGGCATTTCTCGCTGCACTGGACTGTGTACACCATGTTGCTTTGTTTGTGTCTCGATGTCTTGTCCTTAGGGTGAACCAGCTTCTGTCTCAGGGTGTTGGTGGGCTTGAAATGAACTGGAATGTTGTGTTTGTTGAAAATCCTCCTGAGCTTCTCAGAAATTCCTGCAATATAGGGGGTGACTATGTTGTTTCGTTTCTTGGTCTTTTCTTCTCTATCTCCTCTGGGTTTTATAGAGGATTTGATGAAAGACCAGCTTGGGTAGCCACAGGGTTTGAGTGCTGTCTTGATATG